TTGCTTCTCCAGATTGAGAAGTCACAGCTGCGATGGCTTGGGCATGTGTTGGGAATGCCTCCAGAAAGGAGGGCTAAGCAACTGTTCCTTGCAAATCCGACCGGCAAAAGGCCCAGGGACGGCCAAGATTAACCTGGTGCAAACATATTGAAGGAGTCTGTTCCAGACTGAATTTGTCTTTTGCCGAAGCTCAGACTCTAGCACAGGATCAGAAACGTTGGAAACTTTGTCTGACGGGTCTGCCTCCGCGACCCGAAAGGAGAAGCGGCGATGGAAGATGAAGATGAAACGTTGCAGATGAACGGGTAAGACGGCTGAGCAGACTATACACACTCAGGCATAATCATGATTACCAATGAATAATGCTCAATGCAGCAAAAAAGTATTTCATGAGAGCGAGTTTTCAGAAGTTATTAATTGCGACGAGCAACATTACAGATAGCATTACCATTGTCTTTTCGAGATTTTGATACTGGATTGAAGCCACGTAAGCACCGTCCCCTTGCTTCTAGTGGCCTAAGGGACCACTTAAGCAGACATCGGCTTCACAGTATTGAGCAACTGCAGTGCATGGACGCAAAAGTGCATCACCAGACAGGGCCGAACAAGGGCCTGCTCGGACAGCTGCAAACATGCCACGATCCGTTGGCATATTTACACAGAAAAATAAACAAAGTATTATAGTTGTTTAGGCAACATTAAACAAACTCCGCTGTTGCCGGCCCCAAGAACAGATGAGAAAAGAGGAGGGCTGGAAACCATGGCGCGTGACACTTAACCGCATGCCCCTCATAGTATTTCAGTCATCGAAAATTATACCAGTTCAGTCGTCGCCCGGGTTATTAAGAGCTGCACAGGCCATTGCGGAACTGAGGCAAGCAGCGAAAAGTCGGCAAACCTCCTCATCGCCGTTTGGCAGCCGGGAGTGTAGCAGCATAACAACGGCTGACGAGGATCGACGAAACGACGAAGAAGATAGCAGTCAGCAACGCAGACGTTACCCGTTCTGAACGGAGAAGTCAGCAGGATGCCACTACAGCACGTTAGAAAAGGCTCCACAAGAATCACACCGCCAGTGGGAGATAACAGTTGGAAATTGGAATATATCCTCACTCAGAAGGAAAGAGCAAGAAATAGATGATGAGGCCATAAGGTACCAACTCGACAATGTTGGATTCTCATCACCGAAACGTCAAGGCTCTGGAATCCTGAACCTCTGCTGGTGGAACCCATTCCACTCAGGTGTCGATAAAACGACGGGCGCTCAGGCCGGTGTTGGCATTCTGGTAAAACCCAACCTCGCTGACAGAATCATTGAACGGAAACCTGTCAGCGGAAGGGTGGTATGACAACAATCCGACTGAAGATTCAACAGGCTAAAGCGTTGACCTTGTTACAGATCTCTGAGCCCAATTTGGTGGGATAACATAAGTACTTCCTTGAGGAACTGGAGAGTGCCCTGTAGGAAGTGCCGACTACAGAATCTCTCATTCTAATGGGAATTTTAATGCGCATGTCGGAGTAGATAACGAAAAGTGAAAAAGTGTGACTGGTAAGAACGGCCCTAGCGATCTCAACAATAGCGGCATTAAGATGGTGCGATTTTGTGCAAACAACGGACCGTCGATTATGAACACCTCATTCGAGCATCGAAGCGTGCATCACTACATCTGGCACAGGCTTTGATCTGATTTTATTTGATAATCGTATCGTTTGACTCAAGACGCTCTGTAATAGATGATCGCATTAAGAGAAGCAACCGATTACCACCTTGTTGTTGGTATACTACGCTGTAAAAAACGGTATACCATGCGAAGATCCGGCGACAAAAGCAACCAGAGAATCAAATGGGAAACATAATCTTCGGTG